AAGATCGTGCCACTGCAATCCAGCCTAGGTGACAGAGCAAGACTCAGTCAAAAAATAAAAATAAAAAGATTAAACTGGAAGCAGTGGGTAAGAACGATGGAGTGGAGAGAAACGTCTGAGTGAGGGAAGTCAGCTGAAAAGCTGTACAGACATCTAGACAAAACGTGACGCAAGCATGTCTTCACCTCCCTGCAAAGACCACAGCCCCCTGCACTCCAGCGGGGTTCAGAATCCTCGTCCTGAGCCACCATTGGTAACTAATCAGTGCTGGCTTGAGAGATAAACCCTATTATCCAACCCTGAAATAAAACTATGACAGAAGTGGCAGGGAGCTTTGCTGCTATCCCCCCAGCAAACATGTCCTCAAGAATGGAAAGGGGACCTCCTGACAACATCTGTGGGACCCAACAGCATGGGTCACCATAAGCTACAAATTGATCACAAAGTCAGTTTTCAATTGTTGGGGACAGAGGATTCAGTTCATGATTCACACAAACTGACTGACTGTTCTCTCCCAGTGTTTTACGGGTGGCACAACCCACAAGTGAATAGAGGCCTAGGAACTAGACGTTTGAGTAGAGTTGGGTTATTTGATTCATAGTGGATTTTGGTTTTCCACAGGACCCCTGTGCCGTTGTCTAGTAAAATCTGGTGGAAATTACAAACTGCAGAAATTCAACTCAGTGCCGCAATAACAGGATGCACCTGTAGATTTCACAGAATTAGCAGCAGCGTTCTCTCAACACCGGTTTGAGAGAAATAACCCTGTTTGCGTAGTGCCAACTGGGGCAGAATCTGATGTGTTCTTGCCTGCCTGCCAGCCATGGGAGGCACCGATCTCAGCAACAGCATCTATCCATCCACCAACCACTTAACAAGTAAAGATGGAAGACCCACGTGCTCCAGGCTATCCTGCACTGGTTCATTTGCTCTTGATGGGATTACCAATTTGACAGATGTGCTTGCAATTAATTGGGGGCTTTCTGCTTCCAATCCAAATTCCCACACTTAGATCACTGGCTCTCTGGGAGCAAAAACCCTTCTTTGTTTTTGCTTCTCCCAGACCCTGGGCAGAGCTCCCTGTTCCTGGATCCTACACTGATATGTACTGAATTGAATTCTACGAAAGGGTGCACCCAAGAGTACACAAGCTAAGTGAAATGTAATTTGCGGGAGCTCATGTGGACATTTCAGGTCCATGTCTACAAGATAAAAGAGAGAAAAGCCTGGGGGCCACCACAGGCCTGGGAAAATGACCTCCGATTAAGCCTAATAAGAGCATCCAATACATAAACAGCAGGCTCTCTGCCACCTCTTTGGTCCTTCCACTGCCACTCTTCCAGAAAGCAAAGGGTTCTCTCCTGTTCAGACTTTGGCTCTGAGACCACAGCTCAGCACATCACTCCTCTAGAGAAAAGAAAGTCTGAGATGAGAGAGCGAAGCTGCTTTCATGTGGTGCCAGCATGCGGTGCAGGGCAGGCCTGATCGTGGAACGGATCCCTGAAGACCTGAGTGGTCGCCTCCCCTTTCTAGTGCCCATTTCTTCTCCTCTTTGGGAAGACTGTCAGCATCCTCAGTGCAGGGCTGTGTCTTTATTTCTTGGCTGTCCCCGCAGGTTCTAGCATGTTGCTTTGATTAATTGCAGATGCTCAGTCAACGTTTGTTGATGGCTTACGTGACAGAGGTGAAATTCTTTCATCTGGTTTTCACCTTTTCCTTTCCTTTTTTTTTTTTTTTTTTTTTTTAAGAGGTAAGGTCTTGCTCTGTGGCCCTCGCTGGAATGCAGTGGCACAATCGTAGCTCATTGCAGCCTTGACCTCCTGGGCTCAAGCGATCCTCACCCGCTTTGGCCTCCTGAGTAGCTGGGACTATAGGCATGTGCCACTATGCTCAGCCTTACCTTTTCCTTTCCTTGCGCTCCCCTGGGGGAGATGCTGGTAAGCAATGAACCAGTCAGGAGGACAGCAGCAGGAGGGGAAACGGAGAAACCCCATAATTCCTAAACAGGTCCTGGCTCACAGAGGAAGTCATGATCCATGTTTCAACATATCCTCAAACCTCATTCAATTCCAAAATGCAAGAAGATGAAATGGGAATTTTACTCAAGATTTTTTGTGGGCTGTTGGGGAGAAGAGTTAACATATTGCCAACTCTTCTCTTCAAATGATTTTTAAATTTTCTTCCAAGCTCTCAATTATTTCTCCAAAGCTCCTCTGCTCTTTCCTCTCTGTCTGCGTCCTTTCTCTGCCACTCTCCTCAACATGACTTCTCCATAATGGGCCAGCGTTTCTTTTGTAGACCAAGTTTTCTCACCCTGGCCACCTCTAATTTGCATGTTACGCCTCCACACCAAGTGAGCTTTGGAGCACCAGTGTTTTAATCCCTGAGAACGATCCTCGGGGGATTCAGCACAGAGGTCCTCTTAGCAGCCTGTAGTCTCCAGAGTGACACGTCCTCCGCAGTCAAAGTGAGCAAGCTATGGTGCCCGTCACCAAGGGGGCCCACCATTCCCCTCTGTGCTCACTTCTCTCCTACCTCCTTCTTCCTTACCCCATCCTTCCTCCTTCCCTTTTATTTCTGCATTAAATGATTCATGGTTATTCCTCTCATAGGGGTGTCTGTGCCACTTGGATCTATGGGCATTTTTTTTTTTTTTTTTTTTGAGATGGAGTTTTGCTCTTGTCCTCCAGGCTGGAGTGTGGATGGCGTGATCTCGGCTCACGGCAACCTCCACCGCCTGGGTTCAGCCGATTCTCCTGCCTCAGACTCCCAAGTAGCTGGGATTACAGACACTCAAAACCACACCCAGCTAATTTTTGTGTTTTTAGTAGAGACGGGGTTTCACCATGTTGGCCAGGCTGGTCTCAAATGCCTGACCTTAGGTGATCCGCCTGCCTCAGCCTCCCAAAGTGCTGAGATCACAAGCATGAGCCACCACGCCCACTGGTTCTGTGGGCCTTGCTGAAGTGACCACTGACAAGCCCTGAGGCTGGGTAAAGGAAAACGAAAGGTGATTGATTTCTCATCACCAATCTCCTTTTTTCCTCTACTCCTTTGCCCCCATTCCCCAATCTAGACTCTCATAAACAGAAATGATTTCCGTTGTAAGCTAACTGTTCATTATTGTGGTTGGAGTCGGGGGCGGCAAGTCAAGCTTTGAAGTTGTCTGGATAATAAATGCTGTCTTCAAGGACCGTTCAACATTGTAGGAACAAGAGAACAATCCAAGTGAACAACTAACTCCCATCCACAAATGCTATCGCCTCTCCGCCGTCCCCAACCTCAGCCTCGTGCACTTGGAGTTCACCAATCCATTTGATGAGCTCAAATCAGTGAATTTTCTCCTCGCCAAATCTCACAAATTCTGTTTCCCACTTCTTGCCCCATATCCAGGCATTAAAAACTGCATTTTCCCTTTGCCTGATATTCTGGCATCAAGCCTTCTTGCAATTCCAATTTATTTCACCTTCCTCCAGTTCTTATCATTTCCCTCCTGGGGAGTGTCTCAGCATCTCTATGCCTCAGTCTCCCCTGCACACCCCACCAGCTCAGCCTCATTATCACATCACTCGGTTATGTTCCACCTGGGTTAGGCAGCTTCAGTGGCTGAAATCCACAGATCTTGCATCCATCCTTCAAGGAAAATACGTGGGACTTTCCTGATCACATCAGCTCAGCAACTTTTCCTTCCAAAGTTTCAATTGCTCTTCTTATGATCATTAATGCTCTTAAACCTAAGGGAAGTCGGTCTGGGTCAGAAATTTGTTGTCCGCTGTGATGAGCAGTTTCTTCTGGGAAGTACCAAGCGTTTCTGGTAATAGACTTGAGCAATTTCCTGATGAAGTGAGACTCGCTTGCTCTATTGACCGTCTGTCCCTGGATGAACTTAGTTACCTTTAACCAAATGTTCTTTTCTTGAACTTAATCTACCAATGTTATCTAGATACCTTTTCTTCGAAAAAAAAGTCCTCTACTAGGTAAGAAATCTTTGAACTGGACTTACTGGAAATTACCTCCTTGCAGCAGGTTTGAAACAAAACTTTGAATTTGCCTCACGAAGAATTTTTTTGAAACTGCTTTAGTGTATGCCAGTTATATTCATATGCAATGCACATGTGTCTTCATACATAGTGACTGGACACTCATATGTGTTATGCACTGTGTTAGGTGGTGTGAGCTCACCGGTAGGCTGGACATAGGGCCATCCTCTAGAGGCCCGCAGTTTTACACCTTAACCTGAGATCCTTCGACCCTTGACGTTCAAAGGGCCCACAACTGCTGGGTGTGGTGGCTCACACTTGTAATCTCAGTACTTTGCGAGGCTGAGGTGGGAACATGCCTGTGGTCCCAGCTACTTGGAAGGCTGAAGTGGGAGGATCATTTGAGTCAAGAAGCTAGAGGCTGCAGTGAGCTGAGATCGCAACACTGCACTGCAGAAACCCTGTCTCAAACAAAACAAAGTAAAACAAAACAGAGTGCCCATCCTGAAACTTCCTACAGATTTATCCAGGGTGTGTGCTGATGTGCATTTTTTCTAAGGATAATAAAAGAGTTTTTACCATTGCGGAAGACAGTATGGACATTTTTCAAGCATCTAGAATCAGAAATACCATTTGACCCAGCAATCCCATTACTGGCTATATACCCAAAGGAATAGAAATCATTCTACTATAAAGTCACATGCACCCATATGTTTCTTGCAGCACTGTTAACAATAGCAAAGTCATGGAACCAACTGAAATGCCCATCAATGATAGACTAGATGAAAAAGATGTGGTACATATACACCATGGAATACTACGCAGCCATAAAAAGGAATGAGATCATGTCCTTTGCTGGTCTCAAACTCCTGACCTCAAGTGATCCACCTGCCTTGGCCTCCCAAAGTGCTGGGATTGTAGGTGTGTTCTACTGCACCTGGCTAATTTCTGTATTTTTTTAAAATAGAGACCGGGGTTTCACCATGTCTGCCAGGCTGGTCTCAAACGCCAAACCTCAGGTGATCCACTCACCTTGGCCTCCCAAAGTGCTGGGATTACAGGCATGAGCCACCAGGCCCAGCCGATGTGATGCATTTTGGAAGCATGAATTCCTTTGCTTGCCTGGATGATTTTCTTTTTGTTAATATCTGTGCTTGATGTCTAGTATTTAAACAACTGTGTTTTCCTCTAACTATCCAAAGGCTTTAAGTCTGAGACAAACTTCCAGGGAGCAAAACAGTCAACCATTTCACAATGATCAGAGGAGCACTCGAGTCATAAATAAACAAGACTGAATTTTACAAAAATCCAAAGTTTAAAACCAAAGCCCACTTTTCGCATGATCCTTTAAGAGAAAGACAAATCTGGAAGCAAAACAACTTATAAAATGACAGTGCACTTTCAGGAGCCCAGGACACCGTAGTGAAATGGCTCGTTTATAGTTCACAGATTGTAAGTCATGGGGGATTATTTATGAATTCTCAGGATTCATCGGTTTGCTGCATCCTTCTCCATTATTTGAATATTGGAGGCTGCCTGACCAGGATCTTGACAGGGCTTTGCTCCTTCATCCCAGGTGACCCCTGCTGACTCCCCAGGAAGCTGTAACCCTGGGGGAGGACTCAATTTGCAAAGTGCTGGGCGAGACCACTGCCAAGAAGTGCTTGCTCACCCTACCTTCAACGGCAGGGGAATCTCCCTCTCCTTTTGTGGGCGTAGCTGAAGAAAGGATTCATAAATGAAGCTTGATCCTGCTCATCAAACCCAGCTCACACCTCCAGCAATTGAACTTGAAAAAAACCTTTTAAATATTACCGCAAACTATATTGTCATCAAAAAAAAAAAAAAAGAAAAAAACACTTCCTATATTTGAGATGAGAGAATAGAGTGCGAGGCAGTTTCCTGGCTGAACGCACCAGCCCAATACTTAAAGAGAGCAGCTCCTGACTCCGATAGATACCTGATGGGCCCACAGGGGTGACAGTCCAGGCGGACTGATCTTCCCATCCCACATCCGCCCAGCACGATGCCAAGAAAAGGCTGACCGCAACTGGGCCTTCTGCAGAGAAAGGCCTCCTCTTGACTGCCCCGGCTGCTCCCAAGGGCCAGGAAGATGGATTCACACCTGCTGATGTGGGGACTGCTCATGTTCATCATGGTGCCCAGCTGCCAGGCAGGTAAGGGCCTGTGGGTGCCCCCGGAATTCCGGGAAGGCTGACGGGCATCCTTCTCCCAGCCACAGAACCAGACGGAGCCCCAGGTAGATGGTTCCGAGAAGGGAGTTGAATCTTGGGTTCCACCTCTTGCCCGTGACCCACAGGGACCCCGGTTTATGCCTCCGTATTCCTAGGTCTGTCAAGACAGCCTGAAATAGCATTAGGTTCTCCCGTCACTCACAGTCCCTGACAATTAATTCTGGGACAAATAGTGTGACATGATATTGGGATGTTACCAGGGCCCTGATGAGCAGGTTCCTCTAAAAGTTATCTTTTATTCTTCAATGAATTTCCTTTTATTCTCTGCACTCCATGCGTCAGCTAAGAGGCTATCAGGAAGCTCTTTAAGTTCAGGTTAATCTGCTGGAGACATCAGTGCTCATATATCAAATACTGGGATAATTTATGATCTCAGAAAAGTTTAGCTTCAAGGATGTATGCCTTGCTTTACTGCCACAGGAACTAATACCTAGGAATTTCCTTACAAGTGAAACTTTACAGAAATTTTTTCAAATATGCATACTCACCTTTAGAATATGACTACTTCTCATATTCCTATGTATACATATGATATGTATATGTATATGTGTTTATATATGCAAATTTTAAATTTCATTCCTTCTTTCAAATGGGTTTTCTCAAAGATTTTTTTTTTTTGAGACATGGTCTTTGTCACCCAGACTGGAGTGCAGTGGCATGACATTGGCTCAGTGCAACCTCTGCCTCCCAGGCTTAGTGGTCCTCCCACCTCAGCCTCCTGAGCAGCTGGGACTACAGGCACATGCCACCACACCTGGCTAATTGATTTTTTTGTAGAGATGGGGTTTTGCCATGTTGCCCAAGCTGGTCTTGAACTCCTGGGCTCAAGTGATCCACTCGTCTTGGCCTCCCAGAGTTCACGAACCACTGTGCCTGGCCGAGATTTTTTTTTAAAAGAAATAAAAAACCACCAACTTCTACCTCAAACCACTCTTCCTAATTGAGTGTGAATTTTCTAATAATGTCTTCCCTTTGTTTACTCAGGAAGACAGATATGAAAGTTTATAAATTTTTTTGAAGGTTCATAATGGCAAGAAGTAGAATGCTAACCAGCTGTGGAAATAATCTATTCAGAAGTGAAAGACGATGATGCCTTTGAGGCGTCTGCTCGCTTGTTCAGGGGAAGTGGCCAAGTCATGCTGCGCTGTGTGCTGGCCCAGAGGTAGCAATGTCTTTAAAGAGGGCATTTTATGTATTTATTATATATGTTTTATTTCAATAGGTTTTTGGAGGACAGGTGGTGTTTGGTTACATGAATAAGTTCTTTAGTGGGGATTTGTGAGATTTTGGTGCACCCATCACCTGAGCATGTGCGCTGTACCCAATGTGTGGCCTCTTATCCCTCACCCCTCCCACTCTTTCCCGAGTCCTCAGAGTCCATCGTGTCATTCTTATAAAGAGGCCATACTTTCAGGAAGGTTTTTAATGTGATTTCTACCTCCACAGTGTCTTCGCTAAGTCAATCCAAGCCAGAACAGCAAAATCTTTACAATTAGTCATGTTCTGCCTCTGGGAAACACATTTCAAGTAAACTTGTGTTATTTCCAGCCACTGGTGACTTATCCAGGGGTCTGAATGGTCTTGGTGGGGGCAGGGGAAGTAGAGTTCCCCTTTCTTTCACTCCATTCTCAACATCTGTCCGTACCCTGTATGCCCCTCAACACTGTAGGAAATACAAAAATGAGTAAGACATAGTCCCTACCCTTAAGCAATTCATCACCTGGCGAGGAGGAGAAAAGCCTGGACATAATAATAGTAATACCAGTTAGAGGGTGGTGAGATCTACGGAGTGGGGGGCTACCAGAGAAGGCTTCCTGAGGTCACATGTAATGGGGGATCCAAGGGACCAGTGCATTTCCATCAGTGAGATTCCAGGGAGAGAGACCCTTATGAGCCAAGACACAGCAGTGCTTTAGGGAGCAGCAGGTGCTCCACGGTGCTTCTGCCCTGGACAGGGAGGATGGGGATGTGGGGAATTGAAACTGGAAAGTTAGGATGAGGTCAAACAAATCATCTAAGACATTGGGCATTTTTAGTATCTGTATTACTGAGCCCTGGGATGTGGTCAGAAAGAGAATTCTCCTAGTTATAACTTCTTAACTTCACTTATTAGGTAATACGGAACTACAAGAAAATTGAAAATTATAATTGATAAAGTACCTCCTATGTGCCAGATATGTGTCCCATTGTAATCTTCACAGTCACTTTGCAGCATGGACGTCATGATCCCCTAGATGAAGAAAAACCCAAAACTCAGATTCGCACAGGCAGTGACAGTGCCAGGGTTTGAACCTGGTCTCCCTGGATCGTTGTTTCTGTTCACTGCAAACAGGGATCAGAGCCTCATGGAGATGACACTGGCATGGGGTGGAGAGATCAGGTGCACAGTGACAGGTCATGAGGCTCTCAAAATTGTCCAATCATGAGGCAAATGAGGACCCAGCGGCCAAAGACAAGGACATGGGTAGTTTCTGTTATCAACAGGAATTTTCAGGCATCACTCCAGGGTAGGAAACCATCTCATCAGAGACCTTCTTTCTCTAAGAACTCAGTGTTGAAGCAAACCAGTCTTTTTATTCCTCAGGGTGAGAGTCCTCTAATGAAATCACACTGTCAACAGATGCAATTTCTAGCTGATTCATAAGGGCAGATTTTCATTCTGAAAATTTCCAAAGCCACTATTTAACGTGGCGAGGGTTTATGAGGACGTGTTAGTCAACTTGAGTGTTTTTAGTCTCTATATTACTGGGTCCTGGGATGTGGTCAGAAAGAGAATTCTCCTGCTGTTACCAGTATGGCACGTTATTGAAGGCACCTTTCTCAGAACTGTGGAAATTCTGAGAGCTTATGTGTCTCTTGATCATCTTTCTTTCATTCTAGGAATTCTGTGATCAAATCTTTATCCTCTAGGCTTGAAAATATTAAAAAAAAAACAGTGCGGAAACCCATTGAGATGATGTGTTTGTGTAATTATCCCTTCTTGTAAAGACAACTGCCCACAATGGAATTTCCCATCTTCACCTTTGTCAGCCAAACACAAAATGTTCAGCCCTTCACATTTACTCTTTCAACTTCTTGAGGTCCCAAAGTATTATTGCCACGGTTACCTCATTCATCTTCACGACATGCCTGGAAGCTGTAGGGTTTCCTGACCACTGGGGCACTTCATAAAACAGTTGCTACTTTCCAAAAAACAGTTGCTACTTTCCTTAAATAGGCAGTTTGGTAAATCACCTGTGTGTAGCCTTCATTTTAGATGTGAGACTTGACAAAGAAAAAAGTTGACTTCACAATTCTACACCAAAAGAATGAGCTTCACGAATGCGTCAGTTAGAGGTGCTAACAGAGAGAGGTTGGCGGACTCTGCAACTCCGTTACTCCATCCCACTGACCTCAGAGAAATGTTCCTAGACTGATTTTTGTGTAAAGCCTTGGGTATTCTTTATACCTCTTTGTAATTTTTTTTTTTTTTTGAAACAGGGTCTCACTCTGTCACCCAGGCTGGAGTGCAGTGGTAAGATCTTGGCTCACTGCAACCTCTGCATCCTGGGTTCAAGTGATTCTCCTGCCTCAGCCTCCGTGAGCAGCTGGGATTACAGGCGTGCGCTACCACGCCTGGCTAATTTTTGTATTTCTAGTAGAGTTGGGGTTTTACCATGTTGGTCAGGCTGGTCTTGATCTCCTGACCTCAGGTAATCTCCCCACCTCGGCCTCTCAAAGTGCTGGGATTACAGGCGTGAGCCACCATGCCCAACCCTCTTTGTGATTACTTGTTGGGGTCATTCCTCTGCTAGCTATGGACACCATCAAGGCAGGCAGTCCCTCAACATGGCAGCTGTTCACGCTCCTTCCCCGCTCCTCCCCCGCTCCTCTTCTTGCCCCAGAATGAGCAGAAACTTTACAGATAAACAGAGAATTCCCTCAGGAAATGAGGCATGTTGCCCGAGGTCACGGGGAATAGAATCAGCAGGAAAGTAAACCTGGTAGGAAGCAGAAAGTGGGCCAATGCACTGAGAAGACATGGTGAGGGTGTGAGTGTTTGACAGATTTCCTTCTGTAAAATGAGGAGGTCGACCCCGGGATGTTAAAACTCCCTTCCAGCTCCATCACTCTATGTCAAGGATTCCGGAAAGGAAATCAAATAAGCTCTGCTTAAAAGGCATTTTCAAGCTGGGGAGATTTTGGATGAAAAAGTTTCCCAAATGAAGACATACTGGCAGAGTCATGGTTGAGTGACCTTCGTGTGTCAATGCACCCAGGCCTGATGCCTCACCGCGGGTTATTCCCAGCTCTGAAGAGGTACTGCCCTGCACCCAAGCGTGACCCGCTGCTTCTGTAATCGCTGCAGTTGCAGGTGTCAAGGCAAAAACTCCACTAACTCAATTCTCAACATCTATCCAGTACCGCTTATGCTCCTTTTCAATACCATAGGACATGTAAAAATGAGCAAGACATACTCCTGATCCTTGAGAGAGTCATAAGCTGGTGAGGAGGAGAAAGGCATCGAAATAGTAACACAAGTCATATATGGTAAGATCTACCGAGTGTGGGGCTATCAGAGAAGGCTTCATGAGGGTGACATGGGAAGGGAGCCCCAAGGGACCAATCAATTTCAATCAGTTCCAGGAAGAGGGGCTCCTGTGAGCCAAGACACACCAGTGCCTAAGGAGCAGCAGGTGGTCCACTGTGCTCCCGCCCTGCACAGGGAGGATGGGTCTTCTGCTGTTCGTTTGCTTGTGTAGGAATTTTTCCTCTTAAACAATATCCTTGTCTCCCACGGGAGAACTTTTACACGAGTGGGAATCTGTCTCTTTTCTCTATCCCAGGCCTTCTCCTGGGAGAAGAGAAAAGAGAATCTTTGTTTTGTTTTGTTTTTTGGACAGAGGCTCACTCTGTCGCCCAAGCTGGAGTTCGGTGGTGCT